TCTGGACCTAAAGCCCTGCGTTATAACAACAATGCCCTGTATTATATTTCCTTCAGTACTTTTTTGCCATTTGGACTTTTCTATCGTGTAGGTCAAAGCTTTCACTCTTCCAAAACTGAAGATTGGGTTTGAAGTCAGAAAGTTTGGTTGGTTTTGAAGAACTTTGTAAGTTTTAAATGATAGCTCTACTGACCCAGCCCGCCCTCTTTGCTCATAACTCTGCCTCATATACTCCCCCTATTTGCCCCACCCCCAGCGAGCATTCATTTTACCCCCACCTTCTGGATTTCCATCAGGAGTCCCTCTAACACACCTCTCCCTCTCCACTTTCAAAGCTCATCTCAAGAATTACCTCTTTGTCTGTGGGCTCTTTCATCTTTCCCCTCCCCACCCTTTTCAGCTCCCACAGCCTGGCTCGAGTGCCCAGCAATGGAACACGCTTTTATTTTCCCTGTTAACATGAAAGACACTAAGTAAATTATATTGAAATAATTATGTTTAGTTAAATACATTCCCATACGCCAGGGCACAGAGTCCGTACACATTTCGCCCACAAAATATACAATCCCACTGTACAGTACATTTTGTGAAGCGCTTTGAGATTTCTTAATGATGTGCTAAAGCGCTATATAAAATCCTACAGTGTAATGGTTAGAGCGCTCACCTCATAACTGGGCAGGGCAAAACCTTAGGTAAGTTTCCTTACTCCACACGCCTCTGTTTCCCCAGTAATAAATAGGAACTCGTTCGTGAGTCGAATGGCAGATTGCTTTCCGGGAGTAATAATACCTTAAAAAAATAGTAATTTGATCACTCCATCCATGAAACTGCTGTACTCAATTGGCTGCCGCATTTTGCTCACAAAACACAGTCAATTCACTTTACAGTATATTCTGTGAAGCACTTTGGGACATCTCAATAATGTGATAAGGTGCTATATCAAATGCAAGGATTATTATTATTTAATGCAAGGAACAACAACAAATTGCATAAGGAGAATGCCGCCAAGGCTCTGGCCCTGGACAGTCGAGGGTTTGCACCATAGTTGGGGGTTGGATTCGGGAGAGGTAGGGCCAAATGGAGAATGACGGCAAAGATGACCGAAGGCGCAGTCAAAGAGGAAGGTCTTGAGTTGAACTTTCATTCACAGAACTGATTGCTCGTATCAGTATGGTAATTCCATTTCCAGGGCCTTATCAATGTTAACTGTAAACCCTATGTTTCTCAAAAGAGACAAATAAGAGTGATATTAACAACCCAGACAACTTGTTACTATGGAGATTTCAATGATTTTATATCTTTCAACTCTCTGCCTTTCATGACAACCCACACATTAACAGATGTTACTGAAGACTTGTTTGAACAGGGATTGTAATGCACACTTTCTTATGTTTATTAAACATGTTAATGGAAATACTCTACTGTATATGCAGGGACATATTTGCAATGTAAATATTTAAATTCAGCTCGAGGGCAACCAAAGTGACTGCATGATACAAAATGGGTGTTGTTGTCATATAACAAATGTTCAGTTGACACGTCAATAACGATTTTAGTTTAATGTTCAGAATAATTGCACTGAGGAATTGTGCAAAACAATTCAAATGTTAAAAGGGAGAAGAGAATGTGCAAACATCACATTTTAAGAGATTTAGACATTTTTATATGTATATTAAATAAAATAAGTAAGCCCTGTAGCTTAGAGGTTATAGCATTCACCTCGCAAGCGAGGGGATATGGGTTTGATTCTCAAGCAGGATGAAATGTTGGGCAAGTTTCAGTGTTACTATGGCAACTGTGGACCCCACCAAGCTGGGCAGATACAAACAGTGACAAACAGATACAATCAGCACTCGTCAGCACTGGTTACGCAAACTCCCTGCTTGTCAGCATCCCCAACCCCTCCCTCCACAGGCTGCAGATCATCCAGAGTTCTGCAGCTCATGTCCTTTCCCCTACCAGGCTCCATGACCGTATCACCCCCATTCTCGCTCGGCTCCACTAGCTCCCCATCTCTCAGAGGATACAGTTGAAGATTCTGTTTTTCACCTTCAAAGCCCTCCATGGCCTTGCTCCTCCCTACCTCTGTAACTTCCTAACCCCCGACCAACCTGTCCACTTCCTCTGTTCAGCAAGTCCACCATTCAGCCTCTCTGCCCCCACCCTCTGGAACTCCATCCCACAGTCCCTCCACCTCGCGCCCCCTCTTGCCTACTTTAAGACCCATCTCAAAACCCTCCTCTTCAATTGTGCCTTCAGTCACCCTCCTACCCCTAACCTCGCCACCCTCCACCCCTCCTGATCCCAACCACCAGATCAGGTGCGGATCACTGACTGTCCAGCGCTATGGGACGTCCTCCTGACATGAAAGGTGCTGTACAAATGGAGTCCTGTAGCTCAATGATTAGAGCACTCGCCTTGCAAGCGAGAGACCTGGGTTCAATTCCCAGGAGGGCAAAACTTTGGGCAAATTTCCTTTCTCCACATGCCTGATAATAATCCCTCAAAAAAAAAAGTCACTTCAATCCATGACTGTTTATGGGACACTGCTGTGCACAATTGGCTATCGGGTTTCACCCGCAACTATTCAGTCAATTCACTTTACATTCTATTCTGTGAAGTGCTTTTAAACGTCTAAAGACATGAAAAGCACTATATCAAATGCAAGGATTATTATTACAAATGTAATTTGTTGTCGTTATCAGAGAGGGGCAGGGCATCTGAACAGCTCCAACAGCCACAATTCGTTTACTACAGTTCCGGGGAGACGAGCGGAGGGGTGGAGGTCAGGCATCTGGATTTGAGGTCAGTTTTCAGTAACACCTCTTAGAATTGTTAGGCCTCACAATTCCCCTGCTCTACACCAAACTTTCAAGCCAGCCATGTGGCCTATGCCTCAGGCCTCTTTTGAGCCAGGCTTCATTCCTGGAGCCTGTATAAAAGGCTGCAGATCCCTCAAACCACCACCCCGCCCCCCCCCACCACACACCTCTACAGCACAAGCCAAGTGCCTTTCCTTCTCTCGATTCTGTGTCTGTTACAGTTACAATAATACCGAAATCTACTTTAGTTCACAGGAAGAATTTTCGCTTGCTGTTCCCATTATATTTCCCAACTGCAGACAGAGCAAATGACAGGCACGATGTACGAAGACCACTCTGTGCATAGTTGCATGTAAGTTCATTAGGTTACAGGAGAATATACACAGATTTATGCGTTATATATAATCGCTTGCTAATGGTTTGTTGGCACATACCTGCTGCATCCTGACTTAAACTGGAAAGATTTGAGAGCCTTTCAGGTGAGGCATGCTCAACACAAAGGAAAATGTAGAACACCTACAGTGTGTACTGTAAACATGAAAGGCTACGGGAGAGTTGACAATTACTTCTGTTCTGTGAATTTCTACGTATCCACTGGGAGTCAGGGAGATGGTTGAATGTGAATAGGTATATAGAATTTAGTGTGACTGCAGTCTGTGAACCAGTCAGCTGCATCTAAGGGTAACATGTTTACATCTACAACAAAAAAGGCGGTTGGAACCACTTTCAGATATCCTCATAGCTTTCAGAGTTCCAAAGGACAAACACAGGAAGTACAGTATTTATTTTCACAGAGGGAAATTAACAGCTGTCTGTTACAATTACAATAATATATAAATCAATATTATTGTATATAATATACAATAATATATAAATCCACTTTAGTTCAGAGGAAGAACTTTCCCTCACTGTTTCCAGTATATTGTACTTCCAGGCTACAGATAAGTATATGTTCATTAAGCCATGAGGAAATGTATACAGGTTTGTACAAGTGTTATTTGCAATCACTCACTAATGGCATATGCCTAGTGCCTCTTGAATAAACTAGAAAGGTTTCTGGGACTCCATCCCAGAGGCCCGCCGACACAACCCCCCTCTCCCCCCATTTAAGGTCTGCCTAAAGACCTTCCTCGTTGACCGCGCCTTGGGGTCATCTTTACCTCATCCCTCTCAGCTCCCACTCCCAGCTCAGGTGTAAACCCTGGACTGTCCAGTGCCTTAGGACATCCTGCTAACATGATAGGCGTGAAATAAATGTCAATTTATTGTTGTTGGAAGGGTGGTTGAGGTTAGCTCTTAGGACTCATTTTAAAAATGCTCACCTTGTGTTTAAAAACAACAGAATGTGAACAGTGACTGTAGATATTCCTCTCGAAGAAGAGCAACAAAAAGAAAGTAAATTAAATCATTTCAACCTAATCCAAGATGTTACATTGAAATTGTTGGACTCATGCATACCTGGAAATTGAATTTGAATCGATGCAAAATAGTAATGTAGGGAGAATCCTGTAAGCATTTTACCCAGAATTGAGGGACATTTGTGGGGGATTTTGACGGTGCTTTTCCAAAACCGTTGCTGATTTGTGCTTTATTTGTTTTGGAACATTTTAAAAGGCTATTCTCTTCATGGAAAAGTCTTGGCTAAACTGTTTCTTTTGTCAAGGTCAACTTTCTGCAATCATATTAAATTCCCTGGTGCTGTTCCACGTGATATTACAAATTGAGTTAGCCCTGAACTAGAACTTCAAAGTCGCATCTATTATTGTGCAGCACATGTCAATTTCAGGCCCAAGCATCTCACAGAGTCTGGGGTTGGGGGTGGTGGGTCTCAATGCTATCCAGTCGTCTTAATGACAGGTCTCATTGACACATTTCTCAGGGTGGCAGGGGACATTCCAACGTGAGTTGTTACTGAAGGCTTGGCCACTGACGGTGGGGCAGATGATAGAAGACATGCAGTAGGTCATGGAGGAGTTGAGCAGCAAAGTGGGGGAAGGCGACGATCACATAGCAAGGTGCTAGGATATGAAGGGATTTATAGGTGAAGATGCAGACTCTGAATTCAATTTATTGGAGTGTGATGAGGACATTCCATGCAAAGTGTGGTTCGGGTGAAAGTGCAAATAGTTTTAAAGGAGCTGGAGCTTGTGTAGTTACATTTCATTTTTATCTGGGAGGAGTTTCCTTTTCATTGAGGAAGTTGCACTCTGGAACAAAAAACATCTTAAGGGATTTTGCTTTTATGCGTGAATTCACATTTCACTTTCTCCAAGGACAAGGTAATTTTCTTTAAGACTTTCCAGAGACATGTTATGTAGTGTTGATAAAGGCTTACAGTGCTGGAAAGACTGAGAGTAGTATAGCCGGCAGCACTGAAAAACCGTCAGTTTACCGTCTTAAAATGAAACCAAAGTTCAGTGAACAGTGCAAATGGATTGCAGCTGCCACAATTACAGTGAAGCCAGGCTGTTTGAAGTATGAAATATGGTAGGGTTATATATGGTGAAATCAATAGTCTCAGCGGTTTGACTGAAATGTTTTGAAAGCAGTCTCATGTGTACAAAACAACAGCCTGTTGATTCTGGGGTAAAATTTGTGACGTTTCAAAATGATCACCGGCATAAGTTTTCAAATGGGGTTTGCAATGTTCATGTTAAAAACTAAGCGGCCACAATGTAGCAGAATCCCACAATTGATTCTCCTGACTGAAGCTTTCAGATATTAGCACAGGCACCAAACTTTCAGAGATTACCTGAGGCACTGCTAAGATTACAAATCTCAGCCGTGCAAATCAATTGTAAATTGAAGAGTGTGTAAAAATGAAGCATTGTTATTTATTTCTTACTTATATTATACTGTACGCAATCCTGGAGCCCCAAAACTATCCCCAAGCTCTTTTTTTCAACTAACATCACCTCCTCTGTGCCCCTCTTCAAGAACCCTCCAACCTGTCATTCAGTTGAGATATTAAACCGAGGTCCCGTCTGTCTGTTCATGTGGATGTTAAAGATCCCATGGCACTATCTGAAAAGAGATGTATCATTCCCAGAGTTCCGCCAACTCGCCCCCTCTGTCCCCTCTTTCAAGGTAAGTCAAAACCTAACTCTTTGACTGATCTTTCGGTCATCACCCACCCCCACCCACCCAACTTCTCCAACTACCCGCAGCTCCCACCCCCAGCTTAGGTGCCCAGCCGGCAGTGTCAATCACTTTGAGATGTCCTTCCAACGTGAAAAGGCACTATGTAAATCTTATATTTCTGAAAGGGAAACACTAAAATATTACTTATGTGGCCTGCGCACGATTCTCAAATCTGACATCTGGCCCTCAGCCAAATATTGAACTACCCTGATGTAAAAAAAGAAAGGGAGTTTTATATTGTATGATAACATTTTTATTGAAGTGGAAGAGGAGATAGACATGAATAAATAGTGTAACAGATAGTGTAACCAGCTATATCCAGTGGGATTGACTGTTTCCATATGGCCCACTATCAGGAGCTAGTATCACTATCAATAGCAAGCTTCGCGATTTTTGCTGGTTAGACTCCAGCCGTACCCCAACGCACACTCTGGGGTCCTCAAGCCTTGGCTCTTGCCAACCTGCGCCTAATGCTTTCCGGAATTATCAGGATGCGTCCCTCCAGGGAGAGAGTGTGCACACTATTCCAACAGTCTATCTCTGGGAGTTCCACGTGAAGGTGGAATGCATGGAAATCTCAGCTTGGTTTGGATACTCTTAAGCATGGTAATGGGTTTATCCATGTGTCAGACACCCGGCTGACCTNAAAAAAATCATCCGCGCATGGCATAGTGTGCTCTATTGGTTGAGGGACTCCCTTCCCCAACGAGAGGCCTCTCAATGACTGTTTGTGGTAGATGAAGTGTGGTATGTCTCTTGTTTGACAGTTGGTTTTCCCAGTTGAGATAAACCGATTGTATGTCTGTATCTAATTGACTCACAGAGCCTGCAGTTACAACAGTATTTTTACAAGCAGGTGGGAGTGCATGTAGTTGACTATTCAATCATGAAAGTATAATTTTAAATACAGGTGCACCGAATATCAGAGCAAGTATGTAACGTTTAATGTCCCACACAGCATTATTTAGACTGCAGTTTAGAGTATTATGTCCAGTTCTTCGCAACTAACTAGATTCACTCGGACAGGAGGTTTCAAACTGGGGGAGGGAGGGGCACGAAAGGTTAATTACTGGGTAAGAAATGTTCAATGCCTTGCCAGCATTTTGCCCAAGTTTGTGGAAGGGAGAGAGAAATCAAGTGTGAGGAGAGACTGGGCCTCGGAGAAATAGAGAAAAAAATGCATAAAACCCCCCTGGTTTTATATCGGTTGCTAATCAGCCTGTGAACAAGAGATCAAGGAGACAAGCCTGTACTTCCCAAGGAGCGCGTAAACATGATGTGTTCTAGATAGACGATGGGCGCTTGCCACATTAAGCTCCTAACAACAACAACACCACCTTGCATTTATATAGCGGCCTCTACGCAGGGTAGGGTCAGACACCCGGCTGACCTAAAAAAATCATCCGCGCATGGCATAGTGTGCTTTATTAGTTGAAGGATTCCCCTCCCCAACGAAAGGCCCCTCAACGACTGTTTGTGGTAGATGAAATGTGGCACGTCTCTTGTTTGACAGTTGGTTTTCACAGTTGAGATAAATTGATTGTATGTCTGTATCCAATTGCCTCACAGAGTCTGCAGTTACAATAGTATTTTTACAAGCAGGTAGGAGTGCATGTAGTTGACTATTAAACCATGAAAGTATAATTTTAAATACAGGCGCACTGAATATCAGAGCAAGTATGTAACCTTTAATGTTCCACACAGCATTATTTAGACTGCAGTTTAGAGTATCATGTCCAGTTCTTGGCAACTCACTAGATTCACTAGGACAGGGGGTTTCAAACTGGGTGAGGGAGGGGCACGAAGGGTTAATTACTGGGTAAGAAATGTTCCATGCCTTACCAGCGTTTTGCTCAAGTTTGTGGAAGGGAGAGAGAAACCAAGTGTGAGGAGAGGCTGGGCCTCGGAGAAACAGAAAAAAAAGCATAAAAAACCTCTGGTTTTTATATTTTTATACCGGTTGCTAATCAGCCTGTGAACAAGAGGTCAAGGAGACAAGCCTGTACAAGGAGCGCGTAAACATGGTGTGTTCTAGAAAGACGATGGGCGCTTGCGACATTAAGCTCCTAACAACAACAACAACTTGCATTTATATAGTGGCCTCTACGCAGGGTAGGGTTCAGAGTGCTGAACAGTGGCGGAGCCTCTCCGAGCCGGGGGGAGGTGGCCGTAAGCACGGTCGAACAGGAAAGTTTTCTGGTGGGACTTGAAAGAGGGGAGAGAGGGGGCAAGGCGGAGGGATTGAGGGAGAGTATTCCAGAGTTTGGGGGTGTAGTGGCTGAAAGCACGACCTCCAATGTTGGGGCGGAGGGTGTGAGCGACGAGTAGGAGGCCGGTGCCAGACAAATGGAGGCGCCGAGTGGCAGATTGGGGAGTGAGGAGGTCAGAGAGGTAGGGAGTTGCCAGGAAATGAATGGATTTGAACACAAGAATGAGGATCTTGAAGTCAATCCATTCAGTGATGGGGGTCAGTGGAGCCTGGCCAGAACTGGTGAGATGTGAGGATCCTAAGGGGATGCCCAACAAGAAAGTTTGAAAACAGTTGCACTAGGGTGATATCAAGTATTCCAGGTTATAGTTGTGTGAAAGGACTTGAAAAGCTGGGAATGTTTTAGCTGGAGCCTGATTTAATTAGGTAAATAAGTATAATACGGTAAATCGACAAACTATTTCCACTGATCAGCAAGCTGGTACAAAAGGGCATAAGTTAATAATTATCACTAAAATAGAGGTTGGTAGAATTGCTTTTAAACAGAGTCGTTAGAATGTAAAAATTCTCACAACAAATGGCTGTTGAAGCCAAGCCCATAACAGCATTTAAATGGAATTGGATAAATTCTTAAGTAAAAATAATAACCAGTGACTCAGAAGTTTGCTATTTTGGCGTTCCACGCTCAGAAAAAATGGTCAGGTTCACAGGTCGTCTCCAATATTTTAGCATGAAAAGCCATCTGGGGTATGGCACATGCATAGTTAATAGGTCCACAGTACAACTGCATAAGCACATTTGAGCTGTAGTGAACTATGTTATAAAGGAGATGCGCTGTGATGCTACGGGATTTAGGAAAATGCCCAAGAGCAAAGTTGCCTTGTATTCAGGCACAGCTTTGGTGATTTCATCTCTGGCTACACGTATCTTCCAATGAAAATGTGAAGTCCTGGTTGAACTAAGGGCAAGCAAAAGTAATATGGGAATGTCACCACCTCCACTTCAGCGTTACAATCCTTCCAGCAGGATTTTTTTGTAGGGTCAGCCGGGTGTCTGACAAATGTGGAAGCCCATCACTGTGTTTAAGAGTATCCAGACCACACTGAGAATTGGTGATATAAAAGTGGCAATATATTCCCAGCCCATTTTTACAATGCATTAATGTCCTCACACAGCCTCCCTAGTCAGTCTGTCAGTTGGCCCTTGGCTTAAACAGCAGTCAAATTTTATTAAAAACAAATTCAAATTCAGCGGGAACAGAAATAGAATAAATGGGTTTCATTCTTTTTATACTGAAACTGCAAAAAACCCAGCTAAGCTCATCTGATCTTCCAAATTCTATTTTAAAATTTGTGTCACTTTCTTTTAGTCACTTTGATGACTGATGCATGTAGGACTCTGAATTACTGCAAACACACATGGCTCAGTGTCAATTGACTCAATTCCAAATTCAGTCTGGATTCCAAAGGCACCGATTAAATAGGTCCCAATTGTTGTATTTCTAAACATATTCCAAATCTTAAGTAGGTTTGGCAATAATTAAGGGAAGTGTCTTTGAAAACTACCCTTGCTCCCAAGGTAGGAAGTGTAAACAATTAGAACGCCTTTTTAACTTTAAATTTTCACTTTTAAGTTTATTTTTAGCTAGGTGCCTGGCAAATCAGTGTCAAATTAGCACTCTCTGTGCTCCTGTTTAAAACTTCTCCTGATCCCACTTACTGGAGACCGTTTGTTAATATAAGAAGCTGTTGCTCCCCAATTCCTCCCTCCATAGACTGCAGATCATCCAGAACTCCGCAGCCAGTGTCCTCTCCCGCACCAGATTCCATGACCCTATCATGACCTGGTCCTCACCTTTAAAGTCCTCCATGGCTTCATTCCCACCTACCCTGCTCCACTCAGTGGGCTGCGGGCTCCAGCCTGCTTCAC